GTCAATCCTTCTTTTAATCAGGCCATTCGAATCTCCAGTTGCCATTTTGGATAAATTTTTAAAATTGAGCGATTAAATTGAAGAAATGCAATATTTTGGATATAATTTGACCACATACGAGTAGTCGATGGACTATTTTGGAGTTTAGTCCATTATAAGATTAAATCCCAACTATATAGTTAATTTTCACGTGTATTTGATTTAAGATCAGATTAATTTATTTGGAAACCTTCTAGTGAATTTGCGTTGTAATGCTGTAGGAAACGGGTTGTTTCCATTAAAGATGGCTGAAAAATGGAAATCTTTAAATTTTCTTGGATTGGAGATCAATAATAAGGTACGTATCTCCTTTTCTTTTTGAATTATGACTTGTATACTGCTACGCAACTATATAGATATAAGGAAATTTTACATCCGTAGCACATAGTCTTAAAATTTTACATATCTCACACCTAAACTTTTTCTTATTTACATATATAGCATTTTGGTGTTTTGAACGTATGCGTGAAAAAGTAGATTTCACTATTAGAAAGGGTAATGGCACTGTTTTTTGTGTGATATTAAAGATTTGATTGCTATATGTGTAAATGTGAAAGTTTAGATGTGAGATATGTAAATACATAAGAATTGTGTGTTATGTACATAAGAATTGTGTGTTATGTATGTAAATGCACCTAAATATAATAATCAATTTATGCAGCTGGTCATGCATTGTCTGGATGCCATTGTTGACTGCAAGAGAACAAATGTGTATGCTTTTCCTGAACTAGATTTCAACTATCCCCTTTAATGGTTTATTTAAGTTTTCTGCTTTGTTGTGATAGTTTGCTCTTTTTAATTGATAAAGTGATGTTGGAGTTAACCTGAATCATAAGAAATATAAATATTATTGCTGAATTCAAATAGGCCTACAATGAGACGCTTCAAAACAGTAAATAAAGGACAAAGAACACAAACAACACTCTAGGAGAGGACGACAATGCTGGGTAGTGGCTTGATGGTAGGTGTAGGGCTGGTGGGATGCTGCCGGTACAATGGGGAGGCCTGGAAGGCAGAATCGAGTGTCGTTAGTAGCAGGAAGGCGAGGGGAAGGGGGATGGCAGCAGCAGGCTGGGAAGGCGGAGAGGTGTCACAGTAGGTGGGGTTGTTGTTTGGGTTTCGATATAAATAGAAAGAAAATAGAGGGGAAACTAAAAAGTTTTATTCTAGCCCCCCTAAGGAGGTCGGTCGGTCTAGCAGGAGGCTGGACTGGAACAGGAGTTGTCCGGTTCAACCAACCTCTCCTTCCAGCCTGTTCATTAGGCTTCTCCCAGCCTCGTGTCAATCTCCTAGGGTTGGGGGGTTTTGATCTTTGTTGTCAAAGTTTTTAGTCATCATCTGTAGTTCTAGCAACACTTGTATCCCACTGTCTACTGCACTGTCTTTCAAGGCACCTGAGAGTCTTCCTCAACATACGAGCAACATCCACACCGGTCCAATCTTTTGGGAGTCGACAACTGAACTGAACTCAGTTTGCATGTCTCCCAGCCCCGCGTCACTCCTGGGGTTGGGGGGTTTTGAACTTTATTGTCGAAGTTTCTAGTGTTCGTCTATAGTTCTAGCAGAACTTGTATCCCACTGTCGACTGTACTGTCTCTCAAAGCACCTGAGATTCTTCCCCAACTTACGAGCAACATCCACATCGGTCCAATCTTTTGGGAGTCGACAACTGAACTGAACTAGGTTTGCATGTCTCGCCTCTGCAGTTGAATGCTCTCGCACTGTGGCGACGCCGGTGGTAAGGTGTGGATCATAATATCTTGAAATACCCTCTATCGTGCTTGTCCTATGTCTGGAGTTGGTGTCTCAGTCCTATAATTCTCTGTCGTCACCAAAACTGGTCCCACTGATGCTGCTCTACTGGTAAGGGCTCAAGTGATCTCGAGCTCCACCTAAGCAAGTAAGATGATGACCTTCCCATCCTTGGTAAATGAAAATGTGTTTCTGAATCCCTTATGCTGAGTTCTCAGGTCAAATCGTCACTTTATCCCCAACAAAATGTAGTGGGAATGCATGGGGACCACTTTACCCTTCCGATCAATGCTGACTCTGTTCTTCTTCAGTCACGTCAGAGAATATGATTGGGAGTGACTCTGAGTCATGAGGCCCATTATCTCTACCATCTGCGTAGATGTTACATTCTTACTATTCTTATCATTGAGGATGAAACTGCATATATTCTCGTTCATAGTGCTACGGGTATCGAATATGTTGTGGTGAAGCTACTGTGGATCTCTCATATCTTAAGCCTGTAGGATCCGTTGAACCATAAGTATCTCTCCTTCATCTAATGGCAGATGATACACCTCACACTATTCCTTAGGACGTGCTACTCTTCTACAACAATCTGCTCAATAAAATTCATAACTCGGTTCATCGAACAGCTGGAGGCAATGTGCCCAAATTTGTGACATCTGAAGTATTTCTCTGTTGGAGACTGTAGTAGGCGTGCTACTCTTCTCAAGCTTCTTCTCACAGGGGGTGGCTCTAACCTGATCTGATCCAACTTTCTCAACTCCTTGAGGTGTACTCCTGTTGGTGTCGCCGACTGGTGGTGGTTGTTTGTCTGCTGTCTCTGTCTGTTGTCTTTCTACTTTTTACTTCCAGTGCTAAGGTCTGGACATCCCTAAGTGACCAATACAACTGTAGCTGTACCGTATTGCTAATAAGAGACTTCAAGCCCCCAAGGTACCGTCTATAGTGTGCTCCTCAGGCTCGATCAACTTGCATCTCATCTATAAGTGGTCGAATTGAGCTGTGAACTCCACGAAAGGTCTTGCTGCTATAGATTGTGGAGTTTCAGAAACATGTCATGGCGGTAATGAGGTGGAAGATATTTTTTTGTATGACTTTCTTTATCTTCTCTCACTTGGTAATCTTTTCACTTCCTTCTCTTTTTCTCTATCTCTGTAAGTTCTCGCGCTACAAAGAGACACTTTTCTTCAATTTGATAGCAGTTAATTTGACCATGCTGTCCTCTGGCACATCTTTATGCTCAAAGATCCATTCAACATATTATAGCCAATCAGTAAATTCTTTTGGATCCATAACTTTCTCAAATTCTGGTAGATTCACCTTGATCTCAGAGTCTGTGTCCCCCAACTGATGTCTCATCTCTAGGCCTTCTCTGATACTGGATTCTGAAATGTTGCGGCCTTTCATCTTCATCACCGACATCCTCCCTATGGAAGGTGTTGAAAATTTTGTCACTTTTTTCTCTTCGACATTCCCGGTCACCATCAAGGGTAAGTTTCTTCTGGGTGTCATTCCTAAAATTTTGTCAATCTCCACTGAAGTAGGTTGATTTCTTGTTGTATCTCTTCTTGGGTATGTTCGGGCAGGTATCTCATAGGTGGCATTGTTAGAATTTGGGATTTGTGGAAGTGAAAAGGATATTCGGTGATAAGAAAGAAAATTCTTGGTTTATGGCGGATGCTAGGAAACCCTATGATAGGACTAGGCTTAGACTAGCTCTGTTATCAAATGATAACCGAAACCACAAGAAATATATATTATTGTTGAATTCAAATAGGGTTGCGACGAGACTCTTCAAACAGTAAATAAATGACAAACAACACAAACAACACAAACAACACTCTAGGGGAGGACGACCGTGTTGGGTGGTGGTTGGATAGGGGGTGGAGGGATGGGGGGGTGGCTGGGTAGTGGGGAGAACTGGCAGGGCTGGCTGGTGACTACAGCAGACTAGGAAGGCAGAGAGGTGTGACAACAACAGGTGGGGTTGATGCTTGGGTTGCGACAGCAGCATACAAGAGGTTTTAAGGCTGGCGGCATGAAAATGGGGAAAGGGAAGGTGTCGAGGTGGAAGAGCAGCAAGCAGTAAGTGGCAGAGGATGAGGAGGTCGGGGATAATCACCACCTCAGAGCGAGATACAGTCGGAGCGCCACTCATCATCAGATACAACCCTGGAAAGGGAAAATGGGATGCTGACACGGCTATTCTGACGAAAATCTGAAATAAAACTCACAAAAACATAATCTTAATTTAGCAAACACATATAAATAGAGAGGGAATAGGGGGGAAACTAAAAAGGAAAAGGGCAAGCAATGAGCGGCAATTCTGCGCCCTAAGTAGGCTGGTCGGGACAGGAACTAGCCGGTTCAGCCAACCCGTCCTTCCAGCCGGTTCATACTGTTCAATCAACATGTTATATGTTATTTGATGTGGGGCGTGAAAGTGACGTGGAAATGTTAGTACCTAACTAGTTCAGATTTGTTGAGGGATCGATCAGCTTTAGCAGGGGAAGTACACCTTTCCTATTGAAAGGGCTTCATTTCTAGTTATGCTAAGGTTATTTATTTACTTTGTGCATTTAGATTTGCACTTTTTGTAGTGTGTTTGGGACAGCCGCCGACATCTTTGTTTTTCTTTTTAGGGTTGTAACAAATGGTCCAGTGGTGCTCCGGTTGTAACTTGCTCCCAATATGGAGATTATCCTTCCCTTACCATTTCCCATCCTTCCCACATTGCTCTCCGTCACCCACCATTGTTGTAGCCGCTCGGATAGCAACCCTTGGATATTTTCCTGCAATTTCAAACCTTCCAGTTTGTCCTTGCTACCGTCATCCCGAACAACCATCTTTTTGTTGTCTTGCAGTCCATCGCATCCCCCGTCACTGCCGCTGTCATTCCCCCTTGCCATCACGACCAATAGTTGTTATATGTTGTTTTACTCGCTGTCCAACTATATTTCTTGTTGCCACCACTTAGGACAACAACCACAGTTATTTTTTTGTGCAGCTTCGCACTTCCCCGTCATGCTAGCAACACTCTTTTGCTGCTGCCACGCCTTCTAGCCCATGGACCGCCCTTTGCTACCTTGCAGTCCATCGTATCCCCCGTCACTGCCGCTGTCATTCCCCCTTGCCATAACCGCCAATAGCTGTTATATGTTGTTTTACTTGCTGTCCAACTATATTTCTTGTTGCCACCACTCAGGACAACAACCACAGTTATTTTTCGTGCAGCTTCGCACTTCCCCGTCATTGCTAGCAACACTCTCTTGTTGCTACCACGCCTTCTAGCCCATGGACCGCCCTTTGCTACCTCTCGGGATGTCCAGACCCTCACAGATCACCACCACCACCTCACCATCCACCTAATTTGAGTTTGTGTTATCATTTATTACAATTTCAGATTTCCATTTTGCTGGTCTGTAATTTCTTTTATGATTTCAACAATAATATTTATTTTGCATCGTTTTGGTTAACTCGAGTATCATTTTTTGCTCACTTTTTATTTAATTTGTAAATTTTATATCATGAAATATTGTTGAAGGGTGTTGCTAACTTAGTTTAGGCGTGGCAATATATTCATTTTATTTAGAAGCCACCTAGGGTCACTTTTTGTTTTTTGTTTTCTATTATTTATTATTAATTTTTGTTTAATTTATGCATGATTTGAAATAAAACATATTTTACATATTAAAATAAAGTATGATAGTTTTAAAAATTTCTCTAAACTCTTAAAAACTATTTTGAGTTTTTTTAAAAACAATTTGATTTGTTTTTTAAAATGAAAAACTAAAACAATTCACTAAACAAGCATGATAAAAACGACAAAAAAAAAAAAAAACTGTAAAAATGATCCCAAAAGGCCCATAGTTTATGAGTCTGGTTTAATTTATGGTTTGATTGTATCTTCTCCATTGTCTATGTAGTCAATATGCCATCCTAGTAGCAAGTCTAACTTTTGATTTTGCATGTCACTATTACAATATTTTAATTTATGAGCATACGTACAAACATGCATATGTTTGTGATCATGTCACTTTTTCAATATTTTAATTTATGATCATACACACATGTATGCATGTGTTTATGATTATACATAGATGCATGCATATGTTTTGGATGGATTGATGGATGAATTTCGTTATCTTGAGAAATTTATATACCTAGCACACAGTTCTTATGTATTTACATATCTCAAGCTTAAACTTTCATGTTTACATATATTGCACTTCGATGTTTTAAACCTATGCATGAATAGATTTATTTTACTTTTAAAAATGATAACTGTGCTATTTTATGTGATTTTTATGAGTGCTGTGTGTTTAAATATGAAGGTTTGGGTTTGAGATATTTAAATACATTAGAATTGTGTGCTATGTATGTAACTGCCCCTGATCTCTTTTACTTCTATCTTGCTTTTCCAGGTTTAATAATTATTTTTGTATTTTCACTCCACCAGATCTCATTATTGTTGTATGATTCTATGATTTCTTACAATAATTTTCTTAAGAAATCTTTCATTCCAACTTTCTTTATCAGGCATTTCATATCAACAAATGCAACTTCCACATTTCGCTCTATTGTTTCAACTTATCCTGGACGATTGATTCTTGTTTCAATACAGGTATTTTTCTCGCTGCACCCTTCAAAGAAGCTTATTTTCATCTTTGCAGACACTATTAAAAAAATTATACTAATATAAACCATAAAATTGTTCTATCATCACAAACTATTCCTTTCATTTGATTTGATTGGAGTAAACTCGTAAAAACAATTTTAAAGGGAATTCACACAGATTTCTTTTATATTTACATATCTAACTGATATCGGAGTTAATCTAAACTATAATAAAAAGACGAATATTATTACTGAAATTAAAAAAAAAAAGAAAAAGAGTTTACAAACAAAGACGCTTGACGATAAGAAAATAACTATACAAACATAAAAGAGAATATAGGGCGATGGCAAAGGGGGTGGATGACGGCGGGCATCAGATAGAGGGGTTGGTTGAGGGTTGTGGCTGTATCTGGAGGCTTGGAATGCCATTACTACAGTACTGGAAGGTAGGGAGAAGGAGTGGTAGCAGCAGGACAGCAGCGAAGAGGATGGCGGCAGCGGACTGG